GGTGCTGCTGCGCCTCCGCTGCCTCAGCCCCTTCCCGCCCGAACGGCTCCTTTTTCTTTTTTTTTTTTTAACTTAAAACAATGGCGGCAGCGGGGGCCGCGCAGCCTCCTCTCCTCCGTCTGTACACGCAAGATGCACCGTCACCTCGCTCCGTCACCCACCTCTAGCCGGCGGGGTGGTACCGGGGGGGGTAAGTGGGGAAGCAGGCAGTCTTAAAAGTACCTACCAAGGCAAAAAACTAGCAATAAAGGCGTTTAAATCCTTTTTTTCCCCCCACCCTTTTTCTTTCTTTTTGGCTGGTACTTGTACGTGCCCTCATTTTTGAGCCAGTATAAGGTACTGCAAGGTAAATGGGCCAAGCATGCTACATAAACCTTAAAAAAAAAAAAAAAAAATAGAAAAATGTTAAGTCACTTAAAGGAATTCCCTGCCCTGAGTATTACTGCAAAATCCTATTTAATTTGTAGTGTGCTTTACACTCTCTTGCAGGTGCTAAAAAGACAGAAAGAAAAAACCTCAGTCAAAAAAATCATTCTCTGTGATTCAAAATGGAAGCTCACGGCCCTGCAGCCGTCTTCACGTGGAGCTCACCGTCCTGTACCCCCCCGGCACAGCAGAACAGCATATTCTCCTGCTTCGGCTCCATTTTTAGGGTGAGGAGGGGGTGCATTTCGGAATTATACCCTCTGGAAAAAAGGGGAGCTGCGCTGAGGGCCGTAGGCAACAGCCAACTTGGTTTTGCTGCTTTTTCGACCCACCATGACCACACCAGCACCCCTCTGCTACTCCCTCTCCAGCCGGCCTGGCAGGGAGCACCCACAGCCCCCCTGGCCTTTGCTAACCCTGTCTCCATCTGCATTCGTCTCCCCTTTTTCCACCTCTGGCTCAGAATTTCCACCCAGGAGGAGGATATTCTGGAAATGGCTATATTTATCAGTACTAGCAGGGATGGATTTCCCAAAGTCAAGGTGGGCAGGTAGGAGAACGAGGGGTTTGCTCGCTGCCTGTGATTCAGGCAAGATCTGTCACGGCGTTTTGTTCTTTTTCACCGTAGCAGCTGAAACGTTGCAGCCACCACAAAGCACTCAGACCAGACGAAAAGTGACTCAAGAGAGGACACGTTCCCCGCCGCCCTGTCCTCATTCGAAGCAGGGGGGGTGGATGGAGAGGCTGCTGAATGCTGACGGAGACGGCAAACGCCGAGTCACACGGACCCTGGTTCAGGAGATGCGAACAATTCAGAGAACAAGGTGTTTCTGTGGTCAGGGACTGAACCGCAGTGTACTTCACCACTGATAATTCTGCATTTAGGTCATATCACTTGCCTCCAGAATAGGCTGCAAGAGGCCCTTTTTCAGGTATTTACCATGACAGGCCAACCGAGAACAAAACCCCAGACAGATCACTCAAGACTTTCACCTAGGATGCGACAATTCCTTCTGGACTGCACCATTTCTCTAGACACCACTTTTTTTAATCTCAATTCTTCATACGCTTGAAGGTGACTTCAAAAGAACAAATCAATCACACCCGTTGTGTTTTGCTCTTCACTCTTTAAACTACTTTTACCTTTGCACATTAAGTGTTCATCAACAACATCCACATTTAAATTGGCATATTTGTTACTGTTCATTTTGTTCAAACAACTGCTTTTACATTTGTGGCTGAGCATCAAATAATTGAACTTCCAACCATCAGTATCATCCACCCTAAAAAACAGGCACTCCTCAATCAAATGGAGGAAACATCCTTACACAGCTACGCAAACACATGGCAGCTGTGACTGATGGCCTCGTCCCCAAACAGACGTACGGGTCACGAGCAGCACACCTCACCTCAGGGCCGGAGAACAAGGCACCCCCGATCCACGGACCAGAAGGGACAGCAGCATTTCAGCACATTTCATGTGCTCTTTCTAGTTATTTTCTTCTTCCACCTGTCAGCAGGACCTTCTTTCCAGCCACAGTGACTGCTCAAATCACTGTGAGCAGCCACTGTACAGGTATTGCCCAACCCCAGGCTCTTTCATCTAACTTTTACTCTCACAAAGCAAAATAGCAGCAGAATATCCAGCTGTTCGGAGCATTGTTGGGTATTTCCTTTGTTTCATTCACATTTCCAGTAAAACACTTTAAAAAAAAACCCAAAACAACCTGGGAAGATGGCTCTCCCGGAACAGCTATTGTTCACTACAGACACTGGAATAAAATATTTTTAGGTGCCTCGCTGCCCACGAGACCCAGGTGCTGCAGGATACGCCGTAGCACTCCTTGCTAGCACCGAGAAGCCAGCACAGGGAAGCAATCTTTGGGGAAGCAACAAGACACTTTCTCCCCAGAATCACTGGCAAGCGGTGTACGAGCTCCGGGGGAGAGCAGCAGGAGCAAGAACATTTTTATTTATTTTTAAAATGACACTTGATAATGGGAAACTCACCTGCTCAAAGCCAGTAGCTGCCTCAAGCCTCATTTTTTTGCGGACCTGTGACCTGGCAGGAGTAGCAGCTCTTATCTCCGTTAGAACAACTCCAAGGGTTGATCAACCAACTCCGTTGCCGTTCGCTCCAGGGAGGTCTCTGTCAGGAGCAGCAGATTTCTGTAAAGAAATGGTCATTCCCTCGCCCACACTGGGAGCTGGTGCAGCTGCACACACCCCAGCCCCTCAAGCAAATGCTGCATCATTTTTTAAGCAAACCCTGGGCGCTACGGTCATCCATGCCAAAACACGGTGAGATTTCCCAGCTGCAACTCTGAAACGTGCAAGAGCAAAGACAGACCCCTCAGAGCTGACCTCCTCGTGCAGCAGTTACGGGTGGCTCAGCGTGGCCAGAACAACCGTCCCTCTAGCCCACTAACTTTTTGATGTAGCGGAGAGAGGAGAAAGCCCGTGGGGTTCACGCAGCGCCTACACCACTGGGGTACTACGATATCCCTGGAGCCTGCCTACGAGTGCCCAAAGCAGGCCCAGCTGCCCAGGCTTCCACTGGATCAGGGTGATTACACAAGTCCCCCAGGTTTCTTGCATCCTTGCTTCAAAAACGGTCACTTGCCGAGCAAAACGCTGAAGACCAAAAGCAAGGAAGACAAGTGGCTGTGAACAGACGGGAGGTGACTGCCAGCTTCCTGACAGTGCTTGCCATCGTAGGGGCCACACACGCTGCATTTCACTCCACGCTTCTCAGAGAATGCAGAGCTGCTCAAACGGTGTGGGTTTGCCTTTCGGCTGCTGCCTACCGTAGCAGGAGCCCAGGGGCACATCCTGCGGTGCAGCTGAGTGCCCTTGTTCTCAGGCGTCCTATCGGGAGAGCTGCGCAAGGCAAGCCGGCTGCACTGCACGGATCAGAGGGGTGGCATAGCAACAGATTATTAAAAAAAAAAAAAGTAGTAGTATCCAGATTAACCTTTAATCCAACCAACACATGCATGCGAAAGGACAATCCGTTATGAGTTTCTAGTGCCAGCCAGCCTCTGCAGCATTGGCAGGGGCAGGAAGACACAATCTCCAGAGTAGGCTTTCCTGTAACTGCACTGCAGTTTCTTACAACTTCACCTGACTCACTAGCTGCTGCCAGAAAGTAAGTGGCTGGCTGGAGTCCTGCTCCGATGCCATCACTCAACTCCAGCCTCCCTGGCTCAGGGCAAGCACACTGACTGCACTTTGGTAACGCAGGCAAGACCTAACCACGCTGCCTTGAGCCATGACCGACTCAGGAAATGCACCCCATCCACCTCTGCTTTTGCTCCGTGTGCTTTTGTGATTGACGTCATAGCTGCGTTCGGACGCAGGGCTCACCCCCACGTTACATCTAAAGACACCTCAGACAGCCCCATTCGCTTGCTGAGGTACCTCATTTAACAGCTAGTCTCCCCCTCCAGAGGACGGGGAGGCACACACCTTGAGGGAGCAAGTCAGAAACCAAAGTGAACTAAGTGACATTTGGGATTCTCTCCACGGAGTATCAGCAGTTCCAGGATTTGGGCTCCTCGGCTAAAGCCCCGCGTCACCTGCAGTGAATCGGGGGCCAAACTCCACCCAGGAGCTGCTATGCTCCTGGGGAGCTCCTCGAAAGCCCTGCGGGCCAACCCACTGGAAGCTTTGGCTTGGAGGACAGTGGCTTCCCTGCTGGCAACCAGTGCGGAGCGTGTTTGGCAGCCCAGGCCTCGCCTCGGATTTTCTCCATTCCCACAAGAGACACACATGGGGCACACCAGTGCCGTCCTGGTGCCAGCAGAGCTGTCCTGGCACCGCAGCATTGTGCGAGGACATCAAGAACTCCCTAAACCCAGAGCAGCAGTCACCCTGCATCGGCATTCTCCTCTTCAAATTCTAATCCATCAAAGACCAACTGTCCCAGGTCACCTCTGTACAGCTCTAGCTTACCCCGTGGGTTAAAAATTAATAAAAACCTAACCTCTTCGAATCAAAGTAATGAGTAATGTCAGAAACAGCCTTTTGCAGGCTCCATTTTTCATCAATACTTCTTTACTGATCTTTCTCACGCACGCACATGCATTTTCCATTCTTTTTCCAGCCACTCTGCATGTTTATACCAACAGAAGTGAGTGGCGGAAAGTAATTCAGCTGTAGAATTAAAGCAAGGGGAGGTAAATGACCACACAAACAGACCATTAGGTAAATGTCAGTTCTCATATTTAATATTTTAATAATTTTGTTTGCAACATTTACCACATAAATCATCTAAATAAATAGATGCTGTACAGTCTCTTATCCATATCAGTACAAAAATAAAACCACACTTTGTGTCAAATTATACTTGAGCCTGCCCTCCCGTTACTATTACAATCTCCTTTTACAGCACATACTCGCTCAGAAAAGGCATTATACTCCGATTGGTTTGTTTGGAATTGGTTTACTCCCTATTCCCCCCCCCCCAAAATACATTCAATTAGTCTGTACAAAAGCTAGAAGCTCATTCTGTGCAAAAGGAAGCGTTCTGTGTGCAAAGACTCAGATACTCTAGCGTGCTGACAGGAACAACAGCAACAACTGAAGAGACAAGAACAAAAATGATCGGGGACCCTCCCCTCTAACTGACCCCATCCCCCATCTTCACCCCCCCCAACAGAAAGGAAGCATACCAAATTCGATGAGTCAGTGTGCAAAAGAGTCCAAACCATGTGCATATGCTGAGGGAAAAGGTTGGTGCTGAAAACCCAGCGAGAGAGCTGGGGTACCCCCAGCTGTAGAGCTGGCTAGGTGAGGAAAAAAGATTCTCTCATCTTAGCCTGCTCAAAAGGTTGTTGAGATACGCAGAACAAAAGCTTCATCTAAATGATTTTAGTTCTTTCGTTGCCGTTCTGTTGGAGATGAGGTGAGGAAATGGCCTCTGAAAAAATCCAGCAGCTACTGAAGACAGCTCCTGGTTCACCCTCCCTTCCTCTCCCCACTCCCTGCAGAAGGACCGATGTCTCCCTGTTCCTCCACTAAGCTAATAAGGTGCAATTTTTCAGACAGGAAACTCTGCAAGATGTCTCCAGAGCTGGAAGAAGTGGTTGTCGTTCCAGACTAGGACCACTCAAACTGAAACTCAACTTCATTTTTCCCTTTCCTCAGACAAAGGAGGTGGGGAGGGAGGAAACCAACCCGCACTCTGAAGGCAAGCGAGGGACTTCGCAGGTCTCCTCTCCTCCCGTAGGGAGCCCTCCTTTCCTTGGCACGGTGGAGCACACTCCCCCTTCAGCCATGGGAGGGAGGCAAAGGGCTGGGTGGCAGCTCTGGAAAAATGATAAGGAGCAGCCAGCGGCCTGAAACAGATAGATCTTTTGCTTTTCAAATGCCACTTTTAGACAGACGATAAGGAGTACTTAGCACTCCTAGTACTTTGCATTTTCAAAGTGCTTCAAAACATACTTCAGATTTAAAAGCAAAAAAAAAAGCTGCTTAACATTTTGACAGATTTGCAAAAAGCTTCTTTGTGCTGACACTACATTTTCTGGTTAAAAAATAAATAAATAAAAAAAAAAAAGGCTTTCCACCACCTCCTCCAAAATCTCCCTCCCAGTCAAAACTGTGCTACCCCAGTAACGAGATAAGCTGTGATAGAGGTTCCGAACTGTCTGATGAGCTCTCCCTTTCAACATCCGACTGGCACTCTTGGACAAGAACCCCTAGCATCTTCGCAGAGCCACTCACAGCAGATAGAAACAATCTCAGCAGTAAAGCTTCTATCTCATCCCAACTTGGTAGCAATCCATCTCCCCACTATCAGCCATTACGTGCTCCTGCTGAGCTCTGCTCCTCTCTACAACTCCCAGTTAACTAGGAATCATCTCCCACCTGCTCCCAGCTAAGCCACTGTACTTCAAGAAATTAAGGGTGCAAGCAAAAGAGAGGTGGAAAAGAAAAAGCGGTCATCACTCCAGGACTGCTTGTTACAGAAAAGTATTTCAAGGGTCTGAATTCCATTTTAAGTGATTGCTTCTCTCTCCTTCCAATTGTCCTGGGGCTGTTTTGTAGGCCTTCACATCTTGACCAGCTACTTGGGTGGAATTCAGGTGGTTCGACACCCACAAGGTTCATGCTTTCTCTGCAAGGACAGTAAGTTCAGCAGGCAGAGGGCAACATGGTCTCTTGAGCACATGCTATTGTCTCAAAACAAGTTACCATGCCCTTGGGGAAAACTGTTTTATAACAAGCATGGCAAAAGCAACATATTCCCTTTACCTGTATGTGCCATGGCTATACATTCCCATGCAGAAGTTACCCTATGCAAGCTGTTAATGTACACATCTCCCTTGCTTTCCCAAATGGTAAAAGACACATAAATGCAGCACTGACCATCTCCTCTCCACAGGGCACACTCAGAACTCCAAGGGGCATCCGCCCACTGATGCAAGGGATCAGCTTCACTAGAAGTTCTTTGCACTTCTAACGTGCCTTCTCTCCCAACTGGCAGCTCACCCAAAGGCCTATCCCCAACCAACTAGCAAGAGCAACTCTGAGGCAACTCCTTCCCTCCCTTCTATAACAAGCAGCTGCCCCTACTATTTTCCTACAAAGGCCCACTGCCCTCTTCTTCCTAGGCTGCAGGTAAGCAAGGGAGGAACAAAAGATGGGTAGATACCAATTAGCTTTAGAAAAGGAGGTTTTTGCACCTTCCCTACGTCAGAACACACAAACTTAAAGCTTGAAAGGAAAGGAAGGGGTGGAGAGGTGGTGGTAGATTTAGCTTTGCTCAAATACATGGATGCAGCTGACAGCCCTCACTGTTGTCTTCCGCAGCCCAGTCTCTGTTGGGGCTACCACCAAGGGTCTTGCTACCCTGCCTGTTTTTTGACCTGTGCGAGGCCTCCCTCCTCTATTCCAGTGAAACCATCAAACAGCACTAGCTGGTGCACAGCAGGAAACAGTACTGGGGCCAAGGGCCCCCTGTGAGGTGAACAAACAATTTTATACATTCAGTCACAAAACACCGGAAGAACAATTCCGGACAGTTTCACAACACTTAAAAAAAAAAGCCATTCATTTCTCACTAAGCTTCTTTCTGCCTGAGGTTCCGACATAAGCAAGGGTCAATTCACTAACAAACTGGGGTTTTTTTGGCAAACGGAACTGCTTTTGCGTGTTCTCATAATAATATCCTGGCCTTGCTTGAAAAAGAAAAAAAAAAACCAACAAACTGAAAGAAAACACCGTGGTCTGACTTCACAAGCAGAAGGGCCCCCAAGCAAACGCAAGACAACAAGGAGCATGCAGGAGCTACGAGGCTACTTAATGCCACTATTTATGTGTTAAAACTTGCTGTTCCAAGGCATCACCTATATGTCAGAGCAATAACATCTAGTTTATAACCATCCAGGAACAGAGGCAGTCCTTTCCATTTATTTTTTTTCTTTTAAACAGAGTGATAACAATAAAGGTTTTCCAATCTCATGAAGCCCCTCAGTTCTGTCATATATACAGTGAGTTCACTGTGAGAAGATCTATGAAATAAAAACTTCTCTCCCCCAAACATGGCTGGTAAATTCTCACATGGAAACAGTTCTAAGAATGACTATTAGAACAGTTCTCCAAGAATTTTGTTTCTTCTGTACAGTTCAGTAATTTCCACTGTCTGAAGTTTGTTTTTCTTGTTTACAGCCATGGAGCCAAAAGAGGTATGGGAGAGTTAGCCCATTTCTATTCTCGGCTTGTGCTTCAAATAGAATTATTAAACTCAGCTTCAGCTGGATGCTATTCTGGCTGGTCTAATCAAATGGAATGCTTAACGAAGCTCCGAGCACAGCATCTGATTTTCATGGTATGTTAGCCCAAGAGGTTCCAATTAAATTTTCAGATTTTGAGTTGAACTGGCAGATGGACGGTATTGGGGAGGAGAGACAAGTAAACCCAGTCAACTTCTCTTGCCATCAAAAGTAAAAACCCCTATACATCTCTACACCTGCAGAAGTGGAGTAAAGCTAATTTCAAAGTCCCTGAAGACCAGCTCTACCAAGGAAGTTTACAACAATATGTCACCAGACAATATGGAACAGAGATACATTTTGTAAAGATCAAGAGAAAAGTCTTCTCAAAAAGATCTAAGATAAGCAAGAATTCATGAATGTCAAAAAAAAAAGTCCACCCCAACACAGTAACTGCTTAGTTTCCTACCACAAACTCCTCCTCACACACACAAACCAAACCCACGCACATGCAACTTGTTGCATCTTAACCCGATAAGGGTAAGCTCCTCCTTGACCTGTACACAAAGCAGCATGGTAGCCAGGTACTTTGTTCAACACTTCGTGTAGCAAGATGATTAGTCACCAGCAGAGCACAAGCTAGACTGATCCAAAAAATGACTAAGATATGAAACTGTGGGTGGATCCTCTTTGAAAGACCACCACAGGTCTTTGAAAACTCCACTGCAAGAGGAAGAAAAGAAGTTTAAAGATAAATGCCAAAACAAAACATGAGAAGTCTCAGCTGGTGAGTGGAGAGAAAACCAGATGATGGAAATCCAGTTTATTAGGACAAGCTCTTTCCTGCCACAGGACTGGTATGGCTTCCGACATCAGCCAAAGCCAGGAACCTTAGTAAATAGGAAGCTTTTTTTGGGTGTATTCGTATACTTAGATGAAGTGCAGGACAAAAGCAGCAGTAGCTGCATTAGAATAAAAAAACCAGATCCTACAAATGCCATGAAGATTTAAAAGGGTGAGCTGGAGTTCAAGACTTTTTAAAAAATAAGGTAAAATATTATGCTTCTGCAACCATAACTACCTGACCTGCTACAACCCTCAGGAGTGGACTCAGCCATGTGGTGTGTCCACAGGTCACTCAAAAAGAGAGAGAGAGAGAGAGAGATGCAGGTATTCAGCACATTTGGCACGTGTTGGGAAGAGGGGTTGGGGCGGGAAGGGGGTATGGGGTGGTAACGATGACAACACTATCTGACCCCACATCCTGCAAAAGAGGGTGCAACTCCAGATACAGAAGCCTTGCTCTGGACACCCACATTCAACAAACATCCTGAACCTGTATGCTTACCTCATCAGTTTGCCCTTGCTAGCTATTGCAAGCTTCTTTCCCACTCACTCTTCCTCCCACCACATAACCCCCCCCCCAACTTCCACTTTTCACCCTCTCAGATTTCTCCATAATACAACTCCCATGTCACTTCTTTGAGAGACAAAAGGTTAGTCCAGAAATTCAAGATCTTCCCAGTGGTTCTGAAACTGCTGTAACACAGGCCTGCTCAAACAGCTCCAAGATGGAAGGGGAAATCCTAGGTCTACACTGAGCTGCCATATCCTATCTGAGGTAAAACTTGCTTTTAATAAAAACCATAAAGGCAGTCCAAGAACTTTGCAAAAAGTAGATGTTTGGAGGACCAGAAGCCCCAGAGCTCCCAAATTTTGCAGGCCAGCAGCCAAGCCATTCAAAGGAACACATTGAGGATTTCCACAGGTGTCTTTAGCTCAGAGCTCAGAAGGCTCTAGCTTCATTTAGAATAAATACAGCAGATAAGAGATGCTTCAGGTGGGGTGGGGAGAGGAAACAAAAGATTTAAGGACAGTAATCATGACAGTAGCCAATCTTACCCTGCAGCACTCTGTCCTGCAGTTCCCACCTTAGACTCTAGCTCACTTGTCTTGCTTTCCATAGGAAAAGGTCTGTATTTAAAAATTTAGGTTATTTAAATAAAATTTGCTTAAAAAGGAGAGAACATGCATGTGCAAGAAGAGATGCTATGCTAAACTACCAACTCAAAATACAGCAATTCTTCAAAAACCTCAAAGTATCACAGGCAGTCCAGCACAAGGCATTAAGTGCAAGATCAGGCAGGGTCTATTGAAATCCAGACCGCTTTCCTTGGCAAAGATTTTTAAGCCTTCCAAGGGGAAGTTCCCATCAGTAAAGTAGTACAGGATCACAGATACTGTGAGGAGACTGGAGTCACAGAAGAATATTACTCAGGCAGTACAATCCAAGAATTCTCATTGCTAAGAATTAAGAACTTTTTTTCCCCTCCTCAAATCTAATACATGCCTTCCCCACATGTTGTTTACATTGGATCTCTCAAAGGGATCCAGGAACAGAATTTGCTGCTAATCAAGGTCCAGTTCTAGCTCAGTTCTGTCCAATTCCTGTGTCCTGGGCCTGTGCCAGTATCTTGGATATCTTTGCAGTGCCAGGCAATGCTTTGGTTGTGCTATTAGCCCCTCCTCCTAGGGCAGAGGAGTCAGTTTTCAACCAACTTACCACCACAGATTCAGGGCAGCATTTGTTATTAACACTGAATTTGGCAAAGGATAAGAACACCCCACTTTCCATAACGCATTTCTCACACAGCAGGGCCGAGCCTGGAAATGCTGTTTAGCATATACAGAATGGTATGTCTCGACTGCGCTGGGTTTCTGAGCTTTTAATGAGGGCAAATTGAATTTATGTCGCCAATCTAGATTTCAGAGATGCATTTCAGTCTTTCCGCATGATCAACAATCAAAGGGAGAAACCTCTGCTGTCTATATGGACCCGTGCTGCAAAGACTGACTTACCACAGACAGGCAAATATGGTTCTGAAGTCCTGACAGCAGGCCACAGGGAAAACAGCACTGGAGAGAAAGTCTTAACAGCCTGGAGTTATCTACACAGGTAGGATCCATCGCCTCTCACTGCTGCAGGAAGAGAGGGAGGAGGAAGGTGGGAAGAGCAATGCACAGGGAAGTATCTTTATCCAGGGGATATCAATTGCAGAACAAGGCGGCAGGCTAGAGATCCAGCTCTCCTTCCACCTCCACATGCCCTCTCCCCACAAATGCAGCTGCCGCCACTTAACAGGATAAAAGGCGAATTGTTCAGCTTGCTGCTTTCACATCTAGGAGGGGAGTCTTTGCCAGGGAAAGGGCTGTCAGTTTTTCAGATGGACAAAGCAACAACAAACACGCACCCCCTATACTGCCCTTTTTTGCGTATCTGAAAGGGGGAAAAAGGAGAAAAAAAAAAAGAAGGTCTCTGTAAACATTTTAAGAGGAGACATTTTGGATTTTTTTTTTCTTAAGGGATAAAATAACCCTTCCCTAGCCCCACTGTAAAAGCACTGGTTTTGGGGACCACTGAAAATGGAGATTCAGAACTGCGCACTCCGGTCTCGGAAGAAGCCCTCAGCCACTTGTGCTTCTCTGAAAGTGACGGTAATGGAGTTTGCCGTGATGTCTGTCACTGTCACTTCGCTGGGGGGCACAGTGGGAATCCAAGGGAGACTGCCATCCACATCTGCTGCAGAAGGAGAGGCAGATAAGAGCGTATTAGTGAGAGGGTGAGGGAGAAGGAAGGAGGAATAAGAGACAGAAGGGAAGGATGGAAAGGGGCTTCCTTTCTGACAAACAGTGGATGAAATTAGCCTGTACTGAGTCTGCACATACAAGGCAAGAAAGAGCATGGGCAAGCCCTCCCCTTAGAGGCTAAAGGAAAATGGAGGATCACTGCAGGATATAATGGGAAAAGAAAAGAGTAGCAAAGGTGTCCAGACACATACCAGCATCGGAGCAGCCTACACAGAGGTCAAAAGACCCTGTAACACTGCCCAGCTCATTTAACCATCCTCAATTCCCTGATACCTCTCACCCCATCTCAGCCCCCAGTTTGGCTCTGTGTCAGCCAAGCACACTCATCCAGGTGTGAGCTCACCTGCTTGTAAATGGCCTATCCTGCTGAAAAGTCAAAAATCATAAACTCTTACACACACTCTTCAGATACTCCTATGGGAATCAAAGGGATCCAAAATGGAGGGTCTTCCTTGTACTGCACCTGCAACGCAGCCTAGGTGTGATTCTCTCAAAAATCCATTAACACTGCTTCATGGAGAGGCTGCTCTCCCTGTCTCATATCCTTCCTTTGCTCCCAGATAGCTCCATACAAGAAACCCAAGCATCCCTGCACTGTAAGAGTAATTACCAGTGCCTCTGCCACCCAAAGCTTCACCTCCCCACAACGCCCAGAGACAGCCACAAAAATAGAGAGACAGAGGGGAAGGAAAACACACCCTCTCTCTGTCACTATACCTGTAGTATATACCTTGCTGTCCCAAGCTGGGCAAGAAACGAGGGCTCCTTAAGAGTGTATTTCCTGGCCTCTGTCTCAAATACCTGGGGTGCCTACTTTCACCTCAGAAAGAGTCAAATCCCCCCTTAACAATAACTGGAATTCCATGCAGGCCATGTGTCAAGGCAAGAACAAAAACAGTTTTACATTTCTGTAGTGCCATTCACTCTTCTGATCCCCAAGTGCTTTAGAGCCCAGCGCTTCTAGGGGCAACAGCCCCACACATTTGCCCATTGCCAGGACGCAACACTGGGTTCCTCTGTGCTACCCCCAGTGCTGCCTCCTTGCATTTTGGGCACTGTTCGAATCCCTCTCAGAAAGGGGGAATAGCGTTGATTCCCAGAACACAGCCCTCTCCCCAGAATCCTACCTAATCCAGCCTGGCTAACAGCTACTCCTAGCAAGGAGTAACAGGATTCCCTTAGCTGCTACAAGCAGCACAAGCCCCGGTTTTCCGCTCCCCAGGAAAGCTACGCCTTCAGAAGCTCTAATAATGCAGGGATAGAGTTTCCCTGGTAACTCAGAGCAACACACACATCCCACAGCCCTCCTGCACAAGATGCTGGTATCCCTCCCCAAAATGCCAAATGTGCTTGGACATCTCCCGTGCCTACACTCGTGCTGCCTACTCAGTGGGATCAGGCAGGAGTTACCATCCTCACTTCATCTCATCCCCCTCTCACATAACCCTACAGCAAGAGACTTTATAGCATGTGGGGTGTGGAGAGGAAAGGGAAGGAGGGGGCAGAGGAATGCACTATAGGATCATAGTGGCATTCCTGTACACTCCTTGGAGCAGCACTGAGAGGAGTGCTGGTGTCCAAGCTTGTCCACTGCCAGCCAAGCTCCTTTTAGCAGAGCAGCAGGCTGAACACGTGTGGATATGTGGACAGAGGCAGAGTTCATCACTATCACACCTGCATGTCACCTCTGCTGGGAGGAAAACATAAGAGGAATGTAGCTTGCAGTATCTTCCATGTGTTTTCTAACACCAGGAGGGGTGTCACTGATAAGACTACAGAGAGGCAACAGCACCAAAAAAGCAGATTAATCTGTTATTCATCCAAACAAGAAAAAGGAACTTGCAGACAAGAGGACCACAATGTGAGACGGTGAGAGCTGCTCTGAGGACCTGACCTAAATCACAATCCTAGGATGGGGCAAGCAAGGAGGAAGCATGCACAGCATCCTTCGCATGCCCCAGAACTTCACAGCCAACAGGTGTCTGGCCTTACCTTCTTTGCTGGTGTGCTGCATGGCCTCCCAGTCCTCAGGGCCCTGCCTGCCCTCTAGGTCCACTGCATCATTCAGGAAGAACTCATGCCTGCAGTTTCGGCTCTCCAGGCTCGCCATGCGGGGGAACTTCTTCCTTGACAGTCGCAGGTACTTCTGGTTTTTGCGTTGCTTCCGGAGAGAGAATGGCAGGACTGTTCCCGCAGTCTTCTCTGAGAACTCTGCCTGCCCTGGCTTGGCCCCTGGCAGGCTACTGTCTCCTCCTCCAAACCTCCGCGCGAGAGAGAAACAGAGCTTCTCCTTTCCCTTGTGGGCACTCCTCAAATCCATCCCATACAGCCGCTGCCAAGATATCAACGTAAAAAGGGTCAGAGCAGAAATCTGGTAATACAGTCAGGGCTCCCACCTGGGAGCCAGGAAACTATTCTTTGTTCAGTCCCTGAACATCTAGATGAGCTAGGGTAAATTCTGCCACTTCTACAACACTGTTTCTCTCACCTCTTCAAGTGTCATCTAAGCTCGTCCTAACATGTGGTTCCTAGGATTGGCTGCTTTGCTTGGCAACAGTCAAAGCGTGCTGGAACTCTGCTTCCAACCAGTGGCTACCTTTAACATGATGGAAAGTCCAAGCCCAACATGAAATTGAAAGAGCACACAAACTGGGTAACCTGCAACCACGCAGCCCAAAGTTTATAAAACCCTAGTTCACAGAGCAAGAGCTGTTATTGGTTTGGGGTTTTTTTGGTTTTGTTTTGCTTTTTTAAATACAAGTTAGCTGGCTCTTCAGCTAACAGGTTAAAACTATCTGCCTACTCACTGATTTCATGTTGTTGCATTCGCTTGTTACCTCCAATTTTGTCCATGCAACAGCAAACGGACAGTTTCCACCTCCCTGTGAGCAGAGGAGCAGCACAACAGCTAACGAGTTAGAAATATACAGAAGAGCAAGAGGCTACCTGCAGTAGGAGGCGCTTTGGTTTGGGGCCTCTTTTCCTGTACCCCGATGCACGGTCTCTCTCTTCCCTGTGAAAGAGGAACACAAATCAAACCGATTACTAAATACCACAGTACAAAACCTAGTCAGGACTTCTACCTTTTGCAGCACAGCTCCCTCATTTCCTTCACTAAAACCCAACAGTGACCAGTGTGGGCTTGGAAAACATCCCAAAATTGCTTCTTGTGGGAGTGAAAGCCTTGCAATAAGGGAATTTCTCTGACTCAGCTGATCAAGGATGGGTTAGAGAAACTTATCACCTTGCATCACTCCAGTCCAGCCCTGGACCTGATTAAAACCTGAGACTGATTGCTCTTTGGCACAATGCTGCTTGTTCTTGGCCTCATTTCCTGAACAGTGTTAAGCTGCTTTAACCCCGTCTTGTCCGCCTCAGCCAACACCAGGGTACAGAGATCAAGCAGGGTTCATTGCTATAGATCTCACCTTTGACTGAAGTAGGGACAACAGGGGCACTTTATGCACACTATGAAATAAAGACACTATTTCCTTTCCTGTGTCCAGGGAGAGAAAGAACATGCGCCCTTACTTTTCTTCATAAGCCACTACCAGGCGAGGGTCCAAGATATGATCCTCTGGCTCCCATGTGCTGTATCTGAAGAAAAACATAAGGAATATAAAGTAAACAATACTTTAACGAAACATTCTCTCTGCAGGCTTGCTACCAGTGTGCTGCGGCCCTGGATACTCTCTTCACAAAGGTCAGTGGGGCCTGTCACAACAATTGCGAGAGCTCTGAGGAATCCCAGCCATTCCCTCCCCAACTTCCCACAGACACCACCCCCCCTTCCCAAAACACGCAGGGCCAAGCATCAAGCAGCTCTTTGTAGGAGAACAGGGAAGACTTTCCTCCCCAGGGCCCCCTCCACACTGTTTGCAAAGCCTGCGCAGACACTCACAAACTGACTTTAAGTCAATGCCTAAACAGGTCTCATCTGCAGCACTCCCTCATATCCAACAAACCCCATGGAACAATGAGACGTGATCCGATACAGCTTTCTGAAAAATAGGTCTCTCTTAATTTAGAGTGCTCAAAGAGTAAGTATGCTTTCTCACCTGCATTATTAATTACCTCTAATCACTGGAGCCGAAAGTATTCATTTAAGAAGAGTTTAATTTTTCTCCACTGATGCCATTCAACTAAACATGTTTAGACCTGGGCCCTGAGGCAAGTTGATGGCAACTTTCCAGCTGTTCCTCCTCTTGCTCGACTCCTCCTGCAGGTTATTTCCATTTGGCAGAGGTCATCAGTGACTGTACCAGTGCAGGAGGAACCCATCTGCATTGTGGTCATGGCTACCAAAACTACCCAAAATAAGCTTGATGCTCTGAAAGGAGCCTGTGAACGGTGTCACTCACTGCCCCATCTCCCTCCTCGACTGCCAGACAACTGTGACAGGGGTCAGGTGCTCAGGAAAGGACGGAACCCACCCAGCAGGCAACACCAAAACCAGTTCCCAAAGGGCACAGCTGCACTTAATACCAGGGAGAAGCAGCCAAAACCTCCCATTGTGGAAGGTGAAAGGATCACAAGGTGGTCCTCGTGGCATGTTTGTTTCTAAGGGGTCATGTTTGCCCAGGAAAGGTGGGTGGCATGTCTCTACCATACAAACTCAAAGGCAAGAAAGCAAGGCTGAAACCCCAAATGCCTCAGAGCATTAATTTTCCTGGAATGTGAGGTCCAGGGCCTGGGGCAGTGCCCCTCCCAACCCGTGGGGAGGAGGGCCACAGAGAAGCCACATGCAGGTGGGCAAGGGTGCATTTGCATCAGTGCCTTTAAACAGGCGGGAAGCCGATGTTTACATTTCTGGATGAAGCACAGGCTGCACATGAGGGCACGTGATACATGCATATATGTACACAGAGGAGATGGTTTGGAAATGCTTTTCCCTTTCATCTCTCCATTAGATAGAAGAAAGGTACTGAAATACGGGAGCATTCTGGAAGAATGAGTCTAGAAATAAAAGTACAATTATTTTTACGAAAAGGAGAAACAAAAATATGAAATCCAGATATCCCAAGGTGCACTGTACATCAGAGAGTTCAGAACAGACATGTCTTCATAACCAGCTGATCCCTCCCTCTCTCCTTTGCTCAAGCTTCCTGCAGCAACCTGACTGTGAGCTGTCAAAGCCAAGATGCTGTTTGAACAGAGGAAGGTTTCCTCCCAGCTGCAGGGATTCTGGCACTCATTCTACAAATTTAAGAAAATAACACAAGGGGAGAAAAAAAGACATCAGATTGCTTTTCATGGGCAGGAGAAGAAAGGGGATTTGCTTTTAAAAAAAACCTGGTGGGTGTTGCCTTTTTCTCTGCAGCTCAGTTTCTGGCTTCGCTGCAGTGGCAAAACACTGCATATAAAAAAAACATGGTTCAGTTTGCCACGCGCGCGCGCGCACACACGCACACAGAGCTATATATACGGGTACACACAGCCCAGGCTGCAGCAGAATTGCAGAGAGCAGGCACTCTGGAAAACATAGATCATATGATCTTCCTTCCCCCTCCTTCTACTCCTCCTCTTCCCCCTCCCCTCTTAACTCCAACACAAGTTGTAAACAAGCTTATAGCTAGAATCAGATTGTAACGCCTCTGTTCCCTGACTACAGCAGTACAATCCAGAAATGTGAGGTGCAGGACATTAACAAGAATTTTTTATTAAAAAGAAAAAAAAGAAGAGTTAAATATCAATTATGTGGGAAAGCAGCAAACTACTGATCTATCCTTACTCCCTTTCATGAAGTCTCCAATGGGAATGATGGGATAACTGGTACAGAGATTACAAAGAGCAATGCGACAAGGTTGGGGAGCAGAATGAAGAGAAACACGACGTGGGATGAGGAAACGGATTATGTTGAAAGATAGATACAAACAGCTTGTGGTGCTGCATGCCATCACAGGCATATGTATGTTTAGAAACAAGGAACAGAAACTGCTAGCAGGATGAAAGTGACTTCAATGCTCAAAAGCATGTTGTTTTTAAGCAACTCAAACCACTGAGTAAACAGTTAAAATGGAGGGGAGGAAAAAAAAAAAGGAAAAAAATCAGTGCTCTTCAGATTTGGAGTTTGGGGGAAGAGGGAAGGTGTTTGGACATGTCACAGCATCAAAAAAAGGGAACCCTGACATCCCCTTGCTCCCTGGGCAGAAGGCTGTGCTTTTAATTCCCCAAAGAGAGTTTCTGGCTCCCCCAGAGTTCCAAGGCACAGGGCAAGGAAAGGCAGCAGTAAAAATAAGGGCTGCTCTGTCCAAGGAAACATTACGCCATGCCTCAGCCCACCTTCTTGGCAAGTGACTTTACAAGCAAAGGACCTTGATGTGTTTGTTGAAAGGAGAATGGGATAAACATCAGTATTCTGGCTGAAAGGGAATAGTGCCTCACAGACTACAAATGCATTTCCCAACCTCTACCAGTGATTAAATTAGGCTTGGCTACTTAGAAGGCTGAAGCAGTCCAAGAACTGACCCACACTATATGGCAACTGGTGCTCAACAAGTGCACAAGGTTACACTTTGACAGCAGAACTTAAGAATCAAGAACAAAGTCACCCTCTCCCACCACCACCAGAGAGGGGAAGCTGCTTATATTCACACATGCTCTATAAGCATAAGGATTAGGCACGAGGATTAGGCATGCAGAAACAGATTTCAACTTCTTGGACACCACGTACGATCCATCAGGACCATCCTAGTGGGCCCCGCTTTGCAACCACAAGGATGAACCCGTAAAAGCAGCCCCCTTTGCTTAGCAACACGCAGTGCAACTGCATGTGTAATGTAGTTCTACCCACGCACATTGTGTATGTACACACACACAGTTACAAACAGAAAAGCAAAGACAGGGCCCCATATGGGTTGGCCAGGAGGCTGTTCTACTAGACTGCTAGCTAACATAGTAATATTCTCCAGTTACCTAATCCTTTTAATCTCAAAGCATTTTACAGACAGTTTAGGCACAGAGCAATCACTCTTCTTCAGCGGCAGCAGCATTTTAATAAGAGAAGTATCTGTAAACAGTGCACAGCAATGCTGAAAAAAATATTTTTTTTCCCCTTTTTGCAACATAGCAACTAAAGCAAAAGCAGAAAAGGCACTCAAAATAGCAGAAGTTTTCAGACAAGGAAATGAAGGCATGGTGGTAATTTTCAAAGGACAAAGATCACCTGCATTTGGCTACAATCAATAAATCTGAAACACTGCCCCTTTCCGTTTGTGAATTGCAGAGGGGAAGTAGTAGGACAAGACAAGACCATCAACTTGTTTTCTATTTTAAAAGACTGCATAGAGCTCTAAAAATAAAGTGGGGTCCTCTTGGTGCTGACTCAGAAAAGCAGGAGCCATTCCAATTTCAAAAGAATCAGGGTTCCCTGTTGAGCTCATAATGAATTTAAAAACATTTGTCTCTAGAAAGCATCTCAATGGATTATTTCAGTGGTGGCAAAAGCCAGTCAGAATAGACTGGCACACAGTTTGTATCCCTCAGCTGTCAGTCCGGAAATAGATTTGGTTTTGGTTTGTGGCTCTTCGTTTTTGTTTATTGGTGTTGGAATGAGGCACAAGAGGTTACCCATTAAGAATGGGATGCTCAGTTGCAGAGATACAGTGTAAGCTATTACTGAATATTAAAGGAAAAGAGTAAAAGACAAGTAAAACACAACTTACTTCGGGGGCCATCCTTTCCACTTCACCAGGTATTCTACTTTACCCTAAGGGCGGAAAAAGGAAGAACAGGTGAACTCCGCAGCCAAATATGGGCTACAGTAAGAGATGCAACCAATCAACAGGACTAAACTCTACAACTGAAAAGCTCATTTGCCGTCACTTTATTTTCAAAACAAAGCCACTTCCTCATTCAACTACACTTGCTATACCTTTCTCCCCAGAAAGTGGGCACACAGGGGTATTTAAGCGTGCTTGAACTACCATCAGCTTGGGATCATACCTTTGCAGAAGCCTTGCAGGCAGAACCCCAAAAGGCAACTGGAGAGCAAGACTGCAACCATCCCCACATTTACAGGCAATCCTACAAGAAGTCAGCAAGGATAAACGCGAGAGGGAGATGTATGCCAGGAGCAAGTGTCAGAGGAATTTTTTTTGAAGCGGAGAAGAAATACAATATTTCAGAACCTATGAAGCATCTCTTGGGCATGTTCCCCTCCAGTTGCTACACGCTTTACTCAAACACTGTTCCATCCATCACAGTCACTCAACCTTTCAACCCAAGCAAACAGCAGCTCGCAGCTGAAGTTCAGTTATCCATTCATTTGTTCACTCTAAGTACAAGATTTAAAAAGGAAAAAAAAAAAAAAGAAAATAAAAGTGTAGTAATTGGAAACCATGTTCAAGGGCTCCATGAGCAATGTGCACAACTATTAAAATCTTTAATATTATACTGAGGGGCTCGTTAAGCACTTCCCAAAGCACGGCAGAGGCCTTCGTGCGTGCAGGACGGCCACCCCTCGAAGTGCCACTATTGCAGCTGCCGACACCTGTACACGACAGCGTAGCAAGCAAAGTACTGGGGTGCATTTTCTTCATGGGGGGCTCATCAGCTTCCCAATGTTCGAAAACGCTGCCCTATAAGGAACTTTCCACCAGAGGATCTCTACACGCTGCGTGCTTATGGGTTAATCCTCACAGCACCCTGTGGGGACCGAGAGCGTTTTCACTGCTGGGGAAACCGAGTCACGAAACTGGCCGCCAAATCCTTCCAAACCCTCTCCCGATTCGGGCTGTCCGTCATTGTCCGGCCTGGGGGTGTTGTCACCAGCGCTGACTTTGCAGAAAGTGACCCCCCCCCAAGGGCTACCCCACAACCCCACCCACGGAGATCCCCGAAGCACCCACCTCACCAACAACTCCCGCCAACA